CGCCTAATACTCAAGAAATAGCTGATCTTATAGTAACAAATTGTTATAAAGATACATAGCTTTAGTTTAGTTTATAGTTTAACGTATTTATCAGAGTGTTTCCATCCAGGTCCTCCCGCTTTGTACACAACTTCAAGCCGGCAACATTTGACTATGCCCATCTTGGTGAAGTTTCCTATATTTTATTATTTTTTTTTCGAAGAAAAAGAATGCTGTTTTCGAGAACCAATGGCTCGCAAAAGTTGTCCTTTTTACACTAAGGAGTTCAGGAAAACTCGGTTTTTCGTTTTACTATATGTTTTAAAATTTTTTCTAATTAATCATTCGATTTTTTATGTTATTAGTGTTCTGTAGTACTAGATCAGTACATTTTAGAAAGAAAGTTTCAAGAATTTCTGGCGAACAGTTTTCGAGGGAGCCTATCAAACAATGTTTTCTTTCGATTTTCACTTTTTTTTACCATTCATATTTTTTGAGCAATAGAAACAAATAATTGTATGAAAAACATATGTTTTTGACGCAATATCAGTCATGTGTATGTGTTCTATAGAAATTGTCCACCGTATATGTTTGTCTGATTTATAAATAAAACGGTATACCAATACTTGCGCTAATATTTCATGATGTTGAATTTGCCTGCGCTAAAATTTCATTCTTCTAGATACAAATCACAACAGAATCATGCTAGATGACAACATAATAATTGAAATACAATCATACTGAATACGGTATAATCTTTAAAATGAAGCATATAATTATCAGTTATCTCCTAAAAGCAACATGAACGTCTTTAAGAGTATGACTATCTTTTGGAACTTATTATAAGTAAACCATAATAAATAACAAAAAATAATCATAAATGGATAATTTACAGGTATTATAGAGTCGAACCATCCTTTTCCTAAATTTGTATACTCTGTATGTATCCAGAGACAAGTGGTTGACACGAAAGAAAGAATGATAAAACAACAAGAATTTTATTAGGTCTAAAGCAAAAACTTGGTTGATGGTTATTTCGTTATTCCTCAATTTTGTAATTTTCTAACTGATTTCAGGTATAATAATTGTTTTTTCTGCCACGCACTTAACGTTGGATGAGGATCATGAAATGAATGAAAACTTGGTCACGCATATTTCTATTCAAGAGTATTCCTCTATTGTGCTGCTATTTCGATCGGTCATGATTTCTATGTCACGCGAAGGCAATTGTTTCTTTTTTTGCATAATATTTTATTATTTTATATGGATATGATTCTTTACACTACTTCATCTCAAGATATCAAAGATGAGGCTTATATGTTTCTTGCCATTTAATTTTGGTTTGTTTCATTCAAATTCAATTTTTTCTGAACACTCATATTCTATGTAAGGTACCGGTAATTCAAAAATCGAACAGAATTTTATTTTTCGATTTTTTTCATCATATTTGGATAGCGAGCTCATCGAGTTACATAGAAAAACTAAAGTTCATAATTTTTTCATTAGAAAAATTTCAAATACTCATTTTGCAAAAATGGGTCAAGCAAAATTTTGAATAAAACTCGAAATTCGACTTTTTACTCTTGTTTTGATATTCCGAAAACCATTTCTTTCTTAATCTACATCCAAATCTGATTCTAGAAAACTGTTTTTTTGAATTTAAAAACGTGAAATAGGCTCAAAATCCATGGGACACAAGCAGAGTAATAAAATAAATTTCGTACTTTAGAAATCGTCTATATTAAAACTTCAGAAAAGTCAGTCATGTCGTTTGTTTATTTTTTGATGAATTCCTCAATTCTCACTCATCAAATATTTAACTATTTGTGACATTTCTACCCGCCATCTGTAAAATAACGCGTTTATTTTTCTTTTACCTAAAAACATTTTTACTACCTAGATCGTTTTCCTTCCTTTACTCTTTAAATACCGGATATATCTCTAATTAAGTCACTCTATCTAAAACATCAAACAAATGAAAGACTTTATATTTCAAGTAGACCACTCTTATTAAAATGTTCTCGCTTACTATATGTTAATGATTATATATGCGATACGAAGAAAAAACCGTCAAATAACAAGAGAGAAAACTTTAATATTTTTATTGCTCTGTATACATAATTCCTATATTCATTTCTATTTTTCGTCAAATAGAGAGAAACACGTCAAATTTAGAATAAAAATTATTTATTTATTTTTTTCAGCTAGTTATATAATCATCGTGGTAAGTAATATCATTTTGTGACTTTTATAAAATGTGATTGTTATTGTCTATATTCAAAAATATTCATTCCGATCAGCATCAGAAGAATATCCGAGAAATATTTTATATACTAAAAAAACAAAAATATCTAAAAATAAATATTTCAAAGTGTCCACATTAACGTGTGGATAAAGAAAGTAAATCAAATATATTCTAGACACTTCTAAAAAATCAGAAAGATTTAAAACAAATTTAAATAACCACAGTAGTCTTTGTCACTCTGAAAAATTTTTCCATACTCTAATATTACATACTGTTGTCTGAGATGTTTTACTTCATGCTAAAATCTCACAATTATATGATATATATTGTCCATTTAAAAATTAGAAATCCTGTTCAAATCATCTAGAGAACTGTATAATAAATCTTTTAGAAAAATCTGTAAATTAAAAACTCTGTTACTGTAACGAGAAATTTTTACACAAGTCAAAATAATCTATTTTGTACACAAAAATGAACCATATTACTTGAGATATTTAAAGTTATCTGTTACTAAAAGAATTGTTTAAATTCTTTTTTTTTATCATTTTAGATTGTACAAAATGTACGCTGTTATCAAATCAAAATTAGCTTTGATTCAACTTGCTGTTTTATTATGCATTTTACGTATGTATTTAACTCATTTAAAGAAACTCTTAAAAACTTTTGTAAAATTCTAAATTTAAGGATAAGTTTGTAAGATAAATATAAGAAAGATATTTATTCATATCAGAGGTGAACAAGTCCAACCATTTTCTAAGTCCAGATTCGAGTCGAACTTCTTCATAGCAGTTTCTGTACTATACAGTACGTCATAATCATAGATGACGGGAAAACATTTTTTTTATCCATACATTATGCATGCATGTTTGACAAGAAAAACAGATTAATAAATTAGATATCAGATTATACTCATTTTCTACTTGAATGTAATAGATTTTGCCTACTTGATCTTTAAATGGACTTGGTAAAAAAATTCCCAAGTTCACAGGCTTCAATTCCGAACTTGAACTTGTCCACCTAGAATTCAGTATAAATTTTTCAACAAATTTAATTGAAAATTTTATGATGTCGTTATAGATAATCAAAAATACTATTCGAAATGTTTTTATTGATTAGACGTTTGAACATTAATGTTAGGTAGATCTTTTTCTTTCTGATGAAAATAATAAGTGGCTTATATAAATATTTTGTTAATTATTTATTTCGTACTATTTAATAACATCATAATTTTTGAAAAAAGATGTTTTCCGTTGCTTGTTTCTGTGTTAAAGCGAAGAAAAAATATTACGATGTTTAAAATACAATTCGTTTGAGAGAAAAAAAAGATCAACATGAAATCTATTTTGAGCAAAATTAAATTTTATTTGTCAATATTCTTTTTATTTATTCATAATATTGTTGAAACTAAGTGAACTCTTTTAATCTCAACAGTTTTCATTTCGCTGTACTCAAGCAGGGAAAACAAGACTACCCATATGAATTTCATTTGTTTTTTTACATTGCTATTTAATTAAAAATAGATATGAAAAATAATTTATCTCATTAGAAGAAAATAAGATTCGCTATCTATATGAAATTAAGATTCAAATACAATATAAAAGATATGATACTTTCTTTTTTTTTACTTAACAAATGATAATATGGTAAATTAAGATAATTGCATCTGTTTGAGCTTCGGCATTAACCGATAAGAATTTTGTATATTATTACAGTTCATTTACATTATCGTTTTGGGGAGCCCTTGTAGAATATGACAAAAAAAAGAGAAATATATTTTTCGATTATCTATCTAATTGGGAGAAACAAATATTATTTTTGACAAATCGTTAAAGTATATTAATAATGGTATAGAATAGAATCAATTATTCAATTCACCATCACATCAAGTTTTTAGCTTTTTTCTTAATTTTCTAACTAAGTTGATCCGTTCATTTTTGTTTTTTGATCAATCAAAAGATGTACGTACAACGGTAATAAAATAATAAAGGATATGATGATACATCATTAATTGCATATTGTTTTCTTATTTAGTTATTCAAGTTCATGGAACACCAACAGCTGATGAACGACACACGATTTATCTTGAAACATGTCAAGCAAATTGTGATGAAATAACAACTGGTAGTAAAAGAAAAGAATGTAGTGGTCAATTTTGTCCAAATTATGTTAATTATTTAATTAATGGTGTAGTAAATGATGTTCCACCCTCATCGGTTAGTGGAGATAAAAAAGAAGTGGAACAATTTTGTGCAAATTGGATGGTAAAATTAATTGATTCATTTGGTTGGCATGCACGTATTCATTTGAATTTGAAAGAGTGTATGTGTGCTGCATCAACACAATGTATTGTTAAATAAATTATTTTCAAAAAAAAATCATCATTTAAAGATTCTAAAAGAGAAAAATTATTTGATATTTACATTTATTTAATAAACATTGCTAATATTTTACATCCATTTATAATGAATGCAGTTAATATATTAAAGTTTGTAAAATCTATTTTCAACCAAAAAAAAAAGAACGATCATTATACAGACGAGCATAAGATAAATCTTTTTATTGAATTGTTTCTTTCATTTTTAAATAAATAAATATGCTGTTAAACATGAAGAAAATAGACTTTTTGGTAGAAAAAATGTTGTTAGTGATGGAAAATATGCCAAAATTAGACTAAGATTCAAAAGTTTTTCGCAATTTAATCACCAATAATAATCACAAAGAGAATGCACAAAATAGCACATTCAATGAGACAGCTGGAAATAACAAAAAATGAAAAATAATCTTTCTCTTGTTTTCATATCAAATCAGATACAAAAATAAATAGATTGTTAAATGAGCTTTAAAAAGGAAAAATTTAATGTAAAAAATGACACAAGTACCACAAACATTTGAATACTGTAACGGGTTGGCCAGCTAATTGTCACCGCTCAAGTAGGAGATTGAAGTGTAAAACTAATCTAAACCAATGATAGCATTAGAAAGAGCGACTAGACTAGTATATTGAATCGGCATCAAAACCACCAAGAAGTACCCTGAGACTCGATATTCATTGGTTAAATGTTTCAGGATCACTGGGAAAAAGTCAGTAATGATGCAGTCCAATCGTTCATATAAACGCAAAGTGAATAAAGCTGAAATTAAAATATATCAATTGGGAAACGTTGCTCTTTCCAGTGCTCACTAGATCAGACTCCGAAAATGTATAGATGTTGAAAAAATGCAAAAATAAAACATTACATTTTTCGTGAAATTCCGTCACGAAAATTGCGCATTTTGTTTTTTTCATTCAAATAAACAAGTTACATAGACCGATAGATCTCGTCGAGATCTATCGAATGGACTATAATTTGTTGGATTTTGATCACAGAGAGACAAATGCGAAATACAACATGTCGAAATGTCATTTTGCCGTATAACATCCATAAAAAATGCATTTTTGAGCAGAAATCGAACATTTTTTTTGCGCGAATTAAGCTGACACCAACATTGTTCGACGCAGTTTTTAAGCTGATTCCAAACAAAACACTGAAAAAATTTGAAAGAAATTTCAATTTTTCAATTCCTCAGTTTAAACTGATTTTTGAATTTTTAAATTTAAACTAAATCCTTGTTATTAAAAAGTCTGAGATTTGTGTGACGCTTGAGCTATGAGCCTCATGATCTCAGCTTCTGGAGCACCTAGTGAAGATTTGTAACGGATTCTTAATTAGACTGATCCGTCATTGAATCATCTCTTTGTCAAATCTTCGTTATGGCAATAGGGACTGAGACATCTGAGACTGATTAAAAACATTCTTGAGTTTATACCTGATGATTTTCTCGCTTGGAAAATGCTCAAATTTCAATTTTAATGATATTTAACAATAGTAACGTCGCAAATTCATCGAAATTTTAAATTTGTCATTAGTCGTCAGGTGCTATATTTTCTTAACAAAAACTGCTTAGAATGATGAAAGAGTGGCACCCGGATGATAGAAAACTAAAGAAGGTTGACTGCGTTCGTCTGAGTGTCGAATTTATGGCAAGCATAACCTTTTACATTGGAAGCATGAAATTCCGTCACGGTCGACTTATTTTTTGCTATAACTACTGATCTATTGCACTGATCAAACTCACACTTTCAGAATTTGAAGAATCTGCTATTATACACATTTGATAAAAATTTCATCGCAATCCCTTACATGGTTTCGGAGATATAAAATAAAGAAGTCGAAAAAGTGAAATTCCGTCTCGCTTGGACAAGCCGATAAATTCATTACACTTTGCTTGTACCTGCTTTAGCTAATTTATCAGTAGCATCTTAACACGATCATTCGAATGATCATTCACATATGTCTAAAAAGAAAGATATCTACTGAAAATAAATATAGAAGAAAACATAGCAACAACACTCAGATGTACCCATTTAACACTGAATTGTTGATATAAATTGTCTAATTTTATCATTAAATTTTTATTCAAAACAGGCTTTGAATCCGATTTTATCCAATTTTGTTTTTTCCAGTTATGTATCCAGACTGTCGCAGCTTAAATGAAAAGAGAACGTAAGAAAATACCGTTACCCTTGAAAAATGTTCGTTGAGTTCTCACCACCGATTGTATATTTACCATCTGTTCTTATTTCAAGATCTGATATACCATTTAACAATGTTATTTTCATTGCAGTAATAGAAGTCTCAAAGAATGTAAGCACATACAAATATTACAAGAGCAACATATTAGTTCAAATATTTTACCATCAATTTGGTTTGGTTATTTGTTGGTGAACTCAAACTTTTACTATAGCTAAAATCAGTGTAAAATTTTGATGAGTTTAGTTTTAGTATTGATACTCAGATTTGACTGGGATTCTTCACAAAAAATCTCAACTAAGAATAAACAGTGATCGATCATGACATTTAAGTCACAAAACAGATCTAGATAGTATCTAGTTACTTCATAATTTTTTTACATGTGTATATTTGATGGAAAATGATTCTGTTATCAGATGAGCTAGCACAGTTTTGCTGCTTATTTCATACAGTAGATTCTAGAACGAAGTCAGCTGTGCTTCATCGATTATTTTGATCTGTACCTGACCGCGTCTGCTTCAACTAGTTGAGCGCATGTTCGTGAAATGCAAGAAGAGCTAAGCACAATGAGCTTTCTTTTTTCTTGCTAACATGAGTCTATCTTTGTGATAGAGATCAACTCTAAAGCGATCAAATACCTGAAAATTGTCTTACAACAAATTCAGTAACTCTTCAGAAATCTGAATGTATTCACTTTTAGGGTTCGATTGTTCGTTGCCTCGTGTTTGCTGTGGCACAGAGATTGATGTTGTACTATCAGCATTCCATCATCTCCTTTCCAATCATCCGACTATTCGAATCCGTACAATGTTCGTACACCAAATGACCTTCTTCTTGAACGATGGCTTTTTTCACAAATGGTCACCGTCGGCATTTTGCTTGCCGTTCTCCTGCTTGTTTTTGCTGCTGTCTACCTATGTGTACTATAACATCGGCTCGCTATAAAAAAAATCTTCGTCGACAAGACTATGATAAGAAATTGTCCACGGTTCAAGTACCGCTTCCACCATTTTCACCATTCTTGCTCGAAAATATCTTCCGGCATTGAATCCCATTTCGATCATCGGCAGTACGCCAAGTGATGTCAAATCGAGATATATTGTGTTTCTGATCTGCGATAGATGTTTCTGAACGAATTCGCATGTTTCTGTAAATAGTTTGTCTCATAATTTTCTCTCAATTCTTCAAAAATATTTGTACACGCACATATATACATGTTTGTTGTACGTACAAGAATGACGAGTGGTGTTGTCGACAACGAAAAGAGAGACAAGAATACAAGCGTATACAAGAAAAGAGAAATACAATTTGCTAGTGACAAAGATTATCACATAGAAGAAGTAACGACTACCACAAGTTACATGATGATTCGTCACGGCGATCTTCTTGTTCCGACGTTCTCTGTCTGTTCTTGAAGTTTTCAACTGTTTCGATGGTGAATGTGGTTTATGAGGGGACCTTTGAGATTGCTGCCCTTGAACCTCCCAACACACGTTCTTCTTCACTGCATAGAACCATAGCCAATTCATGACTGTCATGAAGAAAGAAAATATGTAATGAATACGCGGGAGGAACAAAGGAAGAGAATATCTCGTAAGAAGTATTTATCGGTTCTGGCTTCTTCCAAATTCAACCGTAACCACCGATAAATAGCCCGTCATTGTCAACATCAATCAGTGTTTCGAATACAATTGTCGCATGATCCAAATAAGCTTGGTCCGAAACGGACAAAAGCAGTTGATTTTAGAATGAGATATAAGTGAATGTTCAGAAAAAGCATTATCAAGCCGTCAGTTTTGTTTCAAATTCAGTTTCTTTGCAAAAGTAATGTGATATTCAGAATCAACATCAAAAACTCAGTCAAATGAGGTTACTCACAGTCCTATTCAACAACTTCGATTTGTTTGAATTTCTCCATCGAAAAACAACAGAGATTTTCACTGAAAAACCAAAACTATCTACAAATTCTCAGATGAACCTCGTTCGATTGAGTTTTTGATATTGATTCTGAATATGACATTAGTTTTTGCAAAGAAACTGAAATTTGGTAGTTAAAATCTCAAAATACAAGTGTATTTCCGTATGTTTCGTCATTGATTTAGAAAAAATGAGTTTTCTCAGTAAAGACTCAAAAGCTGCTATACAGTATAGCAGCTTCTTGGTTTTTAACAGTATAGCTAGCTTATGCTGTTAAAAAGTAGAAATTGCGAATGATATAGTGTTGCTCAAAGTTATTTCTGCACATAGACATAGTTCAAAGTAAAAACTTTTTTGATACTGTAGCGATTTTGAACAAATTCAGTTCTATCAAGTATTTTTATTTTTTTTCCTTAAAAGAACTTTTTTAAAAAAGCTGAACCAACTTTTTCTTACTCAGTTTGATATGCTCTATCCAATCATGTATGAATAAATCAAAAATAAAATCTTATTTGAATTTTGAATTATGGGCGCTTTACTACTAGATAATTTTAATAAATAAAAAGATCAAGATTTTATCGAATGGTTTGCCAAAAAGATACGTTATGAAATTTGTGTTTAGACTTAATTGTGGGCTATTACATGATAAGATTAATACATGGCTTTCCAAAAAAAATGATATTTTTTTAAATAAATTGTACGCCTTTATATTTTAAAACTTATTACTGAACAGATATGTTGTTCAGCTCTATTCAAAGAACATATTTCAAAAGTTTGCATTTCAACCGACCTTTTATGAATGAGAAAGACAGTTTTTTATGCTACACGGATTTTGCTGGAAAATAGTATTTTATAAACGTTTCTGAGATACCATCCCGACATTTGTAAACTTTTTTAATGTGACTTTGGTTAATCATATGACAAAATTTTTAATGTCTGGAACTTCTTGTAAACACTGACAAACTGCGCATAGAATCACTCAATTATAGAAAATTCTACTTGTTATAAACAACCTACTTGAGCACTAGAAAGTAACGATAATTTCGAATTCTGTTGCAAATTTAACTAACACTAAGCATAGATGTCACCCAAATTAAGTGAAGATACCACACAGTATTAAAGAGGAGTTATGCTTTTAATGAATCTGTTTGTACTTCACGATAATATTCTGTCTTAGTTAACGCATCAAATTCAATCGCATTAGCCAGAAAATGAAATAATAAAAGGTAAACGTTATTGAAATTGATTAGGACTTCAATTTACACACTAACGATAAGTACAATATTATTAGATTAGTATAGGCAAATAATTGAAAGTGCTGTTTTATAATACAAATGTTGAGATTAAAAGTGCATGGATGGCATGATAAAAATTATACGTTTTACTTCGACTGTTATTTACGTAAAAACGTGTTTCAACACATCCGATGATCATTGAATAGTCAATGTTTTCCTCTCGAGGTGATACATGATGTTTTTTCACCGTTAGTCTAACAGGACAATAAAATTTAAGTATTTTATACAGATTAACAGCAAAGGATAATAGGAACAGAAAAGTGACCGCTACGTTCCTGTGTCATACTTTGGTTGTTTACACATATTTATATATATCTTCTCTATTGTTATCATTGTTTTGTTCTTTATACAATAAGATCAAACTAATCCCATTATCATTCGATAGAGAGTGTCATCATTATCATCACCACTAATCATAACTATTGTGAAGGTTGTATTTTTGATGTATTTTAATCAAGCTTACAGTAATATTAAGAACATTGTTTTATATTCTTAGAGGATTTTCTATGTCAAACATACACACTTTTCTTCTTATTTCTTTTTCCGACACAACACCATCATTTACATTTCATTACTGAATAATTATTAGTATATATACGATTAATAACACAAGAAAGGAGAGAAAGAAAGAGATCCAAGGTAGACAAATTTGTACAAGTTTGTTTGTATTGGAATGACAAGAACAAAAAAAGAACAGCCAAAACTTCACTTTTTTTTTTATATCTACCTAGTTCAATATTGATTGAATTGTGCCAAATAAAGTAGAAAGAGAGAGAAAGAGAGAAAATGATACTTAGCGATACTTATAGTCAACGCACAACAGATAACGAAACACTCCTTTTGACAGAAAACACCATACAGGAGTCACTGTAGTAACATCAATAATACATAAACTCTTTTCACATAGTTTTACATCAAAAACTGTTTTCAATGCGATCCTAATAATATCGATAATAAAACTAACAGAGGTAAGCGATGAACGATTTATCATTATATTGTCATTCTTATAGACATTGTTCGTACTTGCTCGCTAAAAGATTTTTAACAACTGTTTATGGAGTCAACAATGTAAATCAATGTGCACGAATACAAGCCTTAGAATATAAATTTTTCTTTGTGAAAAAAACGCACAAAATAAACGTTTTGGCAAATTGTGAATATACATCTTATTAGCAGACAGAGTGATTCAAAATCTATTAAGCTTCAAGATCTTAGTAAGATTTGTATTAGATCTAAAACAAATGCAAGCGCAATATTTCTCTAAGATCCTAACAAAATTCGAGCAAGTTTTGGATTATGGATGATGTTCGAAACAATGTGCACCAATGTTTCTTTCCGATGTCGATTTTGCCCACCGACCAACACCCACCGTTCTAATGTTTTATATATTGTTTTTAGACACCGATGTCCAATATTATGACGACAATAATGATGCTGATACTTCGATCTAATTTATTTTCAATCATTCTACTATTAATTATAATTCAATTCAATCCATCTACATCACAAAGTAAGTGGTAGTTTTGTAGCAATAGCATGATAAATATTAGTGTCATTTTTATAGCTTGTACGCCTGATATGTGTAACAAGCATGGCACATGTTTACAAAGTAGTACGACAATATTTGCATGCCAGTGTGACGCAGGATTTAGAGGACCTACATGTAATGAAGGTAGATTGAATGTTTTTTTGTAGTATAATATCATTATCTGGTAGTTGTCGACTCATCTTCTAGAGATAAATGAATGTTTATCATCGCCGTGCGCCAATAATGGCACATGTAGAGATCTAGAAAATGGATTTGTATGCACTTGTCTACCAGATTTTAATGGAACACTGTGTAATACACCGACAAGTAGGTTGTAGACGATTTAGTATCGTGTTTCTCTAAAGAGAAGTATGAGATATCATACTCTGTCTATTCTCAGATCCTTGTCAATCTTCTCCGTGTGGATCGGGAAAATGTTTTCCTACTAATCAGCCAACCATACCCTATTATTGTCAGTGTCCAAATGGAGAAAATATGGTATCAAAATGTCCTGAGCCAAGTAAAGTTTTTATTAGAAAACTGCTTCAACACTCAATTAGAGACTCTGCTCTTTTATAGGCCCGTGCACCATAAATCCGTGTGGAGCAGGCGATTGTGAAGTAAATCCAAAATTTCCTAATGGTTATTTGTGCAAATGTTTTGATAAAAGTGTCAATGTTCAGCTCACAACCTGTCCACAGCCGAAAAGTTCGTATTTGTTACTTATTGTGTGTGTGATAGTACAATAAAAACTTGTACCGTTTCGGTATGCTGTTTAGATCCTTGTGTGACAATGCCATGCGGTAAATCTGCTACATGTGTACCACTGCATCTGGCTCCAAACGGTTACATTTGTTTTTGTGGTGGTGAACCGAATGCGGCGTTTATTGATAAATGTCCAAGTAATCACGAAAATCTATATCTCTACAGGTTCAGTATTGTTGCAAATGTATTGTTATAGTTCCTTCTTTACTGTGTGATGCATCATCGTGTAAGAATGGTGGTACATGTTTGCCATTTTCGCCAACTGAACCGTGGTGTAATCCTGCTCAAGTTGGATCTACCTGTTGTCAGTGTGAGTATTGTTGTGCATATCTCTGCATTTTCTCATTATATCCAGATATTTCTCGTATTTTTTAGGTCCTAGTGGCTTCACAGGAACTCGTTGTGAAACAGGTAAACCTTTGTCATTACAAAATAGGGATGATTAAGTTAATTGTAAATTTGTTGAAGATATCGACGAATGTTCCTCAAGTCCCTGCAGAAACGGTCAATGTATTAATGGTATCAATCGATACACATGCAAATGCTATGAAGGCTTTAGTGGGGATCGATGCGATGGTCAGAAATACGGTACTTTAGTTATAAAAAAGCTATTGTCTGTGTTATTTATTTATTTCTCTCTTTCTAGCTCCTGTAACTTCATCTGGCTGCACAGCAAGCTCATGTGGTTCAGGAATGTGTTATCAGTTGAGCGATACCGGCGCACAATTTATCTGTATATGTTCTGATGGTACTTTTGGATCAACGTGTGCAAATGGTAAAAACACTTTTCAACTACTTCCACAAAATCTACTTTAAAGAGAATTTTGTTTAGCTTCAGCGAATATTGGCAAAAATAATTTTAATAGTCTCACGTTTCCCATGCACTCAACAACAACACAAACAACTGCTGAATATCGTAACTATCCATCATACGCAAAACTGATAGGTTGTATGCCAGATTCTTGTAAAAATGGTGGTACATGTGTCGCAGCTTCGCCAGGATCAACGGTCACGTGTCGATGTAAATCTGGATTTACGGGAGCTTATTGTGAAAGCGCCATTAATGAATGTGCCTCGAATCCGTGTTTATATGGTGGCACGTGTTACGATATGGAAAATGCATACGCCTGCTTTTGTCCTGATAAAATGTTTCGACCACAATGTTTTCCACCAACAGGTAAGACTTCGATGGTAACAAACTGTGTACAAACTATCTACTTTCCATCATCTTACTATTAGATAAAGTATCATCTGGTCAAACACCATCAAATTCACCCGTTAATAATCCTCAAAAATCGATCAGTGATTGTATGTGTCAGAATGGTGGTATTTGTTCTGTAAATAGTAAAACATGTTTGTGCTTAAATGGATACACTGGAACATTTTGTGAATATTCAAGTGGTTGTAAGTAACATTAACAATTTGAAAAATAATAGTGAAAATCGGTGCAAAATTCTCTTGTTTTTGTAGCTGTCGGTGCTTCATGTCGTCAAATCGTTTGTCAGAATGGTGGAACATGTCAGGAGAGTCCAGGTAGCGATGAGTGATATATAATTTAATTATTATGATCAATCTTGATTTCTCTTCTAGGTCAAATAGCCATTTGTATATGTAAACCGGGCTATTCAGGTTCCAGTTGTGAATCAGAATATTTTCGATGTAGAAGTAATGGAAGATTTGCTGATACATCTGGATGTGGTCAAGGAAAATATTTTGAATGTGTTTATGTTGGTCAATGTAAGTAGTTTATACATCGAAGATCCTATTTCATCACATTCTTTCTCACTGTAGATGATCTTGGCCTTCCAAATGGTGTTTTATATAGTCGAAGTTGTCCGCCTGGTCTCCGTTTTAATGCCAACTTTGATCGTTGTGATTATCCAAGTGCTGTGCAATGTTAGTACCATTGACCATTTCTTTTACAATAGACTATTGTACACTACATGTTCCAAAATAGACATATATATTAAACAGTAACCGTCATTTCACAAGTCCATTCTTCGAATTTTATACAAACTTTGGTGTCTGCTTAGTGTTTTTCGACAAATACAATAACGTTTCTACGCTTTCGCAGTACGTTAGCATGTATTTTATTTCCAAACTATTTTTCTCGGTGCCATTTTCTTTTTTTTTCTTTTTGTTATTTTGTTTTAGCGGACAAAATTTGTTTTTGTTTTTGTTTTGCTTTTGACAAATGTCTCTCTTGCTCTCTTTATCTGTAGATGTTTTCTCTCTGCATTCAAAAGTGACCTTTCAATAAACTATACTTTAGGTGATAAATCAAGCGATTCTCTGGATGAGTGAAGTTGAGATATATATATATCTAAATCTTATGCAATCTGTCATTTTCTTGTCAAATCTAATGGTAAGATCATATAGTTTCGTATAACTTCTTGCCATAAATCTCCTCACAAAGCCTTGTAGAATCTTCTGAGATTATATTTCAAGATTTATCGATCCAATATTAGAGTCATAATTATAAACACAATCTTCCCAAATAATTCCGCTACATCTTGTGTTGTTAAATGATACATCATTAATAAAAATGATTTCAATTCCTGTGTTCTGTAATAGTGATTAAAGAATTTGTCCAAGTACCCGTTCTTGGACAGAAAAATTCCGCTCTTTGTATTTTGCAGAATAGTTTCAATCGCGACTGTTCTAGAAAGTACCAGAGGCTGTTCCTAATCCTAATGGAGCTAGCTGATCCTTAGGGTGTCGAAGTTGACTTCAGATACATCGCAGTCTCAGTTAGTCGACTGCAAAAGCACAAGCAAAAGCCTTCAAAACTGAAAAATTTTTGAGAGAAAAAATTCATTAGAAGTCAAAAATTTATTTCAGATTAACTTTTTCCGATAAGTTTTGAAACTTAGCAGTTTGCATTTTTGCCATATTTCTGAAACAAAAGAACACGTAGGATATGCGAAAATTTCAGAATGTTCAGTTTGATATGAGACGTTGAAGAGCTCTGGACATGTGTTCATTTGAGAATTATACTAAGTTACGTGGTCAAGCCGAACGGTGTTATTAATGAATTGAAATTACTAATCATAATAACGGACGGTATCATGAGAAATAGAATAAGCACACAAAGTTATACAGTTTTTAAAAAGCGATACAAAAAAAGTCGTCTGAAATTTGTACTTTCGATTGTGATGGGTATACCAAGAAAAAAATGAGTTTTGGTCTGGTCTAGTTAGTTACTTTAAATATATTTCAAACTCATCTTTCTCAACTAGTGTATGAATGTTGTTCGAAACTATTAGTTTGCTGTTTTAAGACAGACATTTTCTACTAACGCCTCTTCATAGTGACTAAAGCCTTTGTCTAGTTTAATTCACAAATAATTAGCGTTATGATAGTAAATCTATTCTAAATATCGGAAATTATCGGTCAAGTACCAAATTGCTCGTTAACATTAACAATAAGATAGCATGAAAAAGAACAGCAAACTTGAACAAATAAAAGCATGCAAAAACAAAATTATCCATTAAAAATTTCATTATAGAATTGTATGGTTCAACGTGAAATATGATTCTCAAATATCTATATTAAATGTCACATAAATTCCACTCAGAAATTTATCAAAGGTTGTAAATGAGGAGAGAAGAATAAAGAAAAAGAAATGTTGGAGTCAAATTTCTCAAAATATAGACATAAAGAAAAAATAATCAGTATCTCAAAATCTAATTGCTGAGGAGAAGAAAAAAAATAGAAGCATCAATTTTTTTCAAACCATAGCCTATTTTCAACTATGAATGAAAAGAATATATAGAAATATCGTTCTTCATTGTGCATCAGAAGTCTATACTCATATGGTCAGTTATTATTCATTCAAAAAAGAAAAAATTACAAGTATTTGTGTATAATTTACGTGCTAACAATTGCTACAATTTATCGGATAAAAAATTATTTTTTTCTCAAGAGATTTTCTCTGATTTGTCTAAATCAATTTAATTTAAAAAAATCTTGTACATGAATTGTTTTTAAGTAGGAAACAACGATAATTCTATAGTTGATTTGTATAATCAAATAAAGATAAAGACTACATATTTCTATCTGTTTGATCATCCAATGCATATTTCATAGATACTTGACAGTCAATGAGAGAGACAGAGGAGAGAAAAACCAATTTTATTTTTTGTCGTTAAACACGATGATAATTCTAATAAAATATCTGTCATCACTCTCGAGATAAGAATCATTCCAAATCAACTATTATCAAACTCATTTTCTATATTTTACGCTTGTTTTTTAGCGATTAATAGCAACTGTTTCCGTTACGTTTTTTTTTTCTTTTTTTGGAAGTCAATAGAGAATGAGAAAGACACTACTAATGTAAAATTGTAGATCGTATGTTAAACGTATGTCAATCAACGGTAAAATTAATAACAATATGACAAGGATATTTTCGTATTTATTAATTGAAATTTTTAGATGATTCTATAAGAGTGTTGATAGTTTAAGAAAAAAAAAAAGTTTGTATAAACGGAATCAATGCGGTAACATCGAACGGGCAAATTGGCAAAAAAAACTCAAAGATAATCATCAACACATCTATTATGTTTTGTTTGTACAAATCTAATGTACTGTCTCGTTAGAAATATATGATTGAACTCTAATACTTTGAATCCATTTAAAGTTTTATATTAGATATAGATAGGCATGCACTTATATAGATAGATTACAAAACCGATATTTTTAGCTATTTTCGGAAAAAGATTATATAAAGAGTATGGCATATTAAGTTTTTCTTATAACTGAGTTTTGTAGAGCAAACATTTTTCTATAAAATGAGCGTTTCTACGAAGAGTCTCATTTATCAATTTCTGTTAGGTAACAGAAACCGATACGATATATGGGGCTTTTATGAACTATTCTTTTTATAAGTGTTGGATCGAGATGAAGATGTCTTCTATAACTATTTTGTAATGTTTGCTCTACAAAACTCTTAGTTGTGAGAAAAATTTAATATGCCATGCTCCTTGTACAATTTAAGAGGATGAAAAAAACGATTTTTAATCGGTGCATACCTAGATAAAGACTATTATCATACTAGAAAATGCATTTGAAGTTTTATTACGAAATTGTTTATTAGATGACAAAAGAGCGATAATTACTATTGTCCTTTATTCTATTCTATCATATATCTATCTATTTGTTCAATTATTTTTCTCTTGCTCTTTTCTATATTTCTACAATTGTATAGATAACTACTTCATGTTATTGTGCTGCATATTTACTAAGTTATATTACACTTTATTAAAAATAATTATGATAATACTTTTAAAAATTAAATTAATTAAAGTTTAATAAAAAGAGTGAGTAACAAAGTATATGCCACTTCGTATCGATAGATCAACTCAAACAATCGTTTTTTCCAAAAAAAATTTTAAATTATTTGATTAAATATTAATTAAAAAATTGAATAGTTAAAAGAGTTTTCTGATAATTAGCTTTATTCTTGCCCATCGGGCCTATCGGGACACCCATCGTAAGACAACAAAATAAAAATACAATGAAATAAAAACAGAAAATGATATCATTAGAGTTATGTGAGTTAAAAAAGTTACATGAGATGCGTGAATAACATGAACTGAGGTCAGCAATAGTGCGAAGATAGAAAAAAACAACAAAAAAAAAACAAAAGATCAGTTTGCTGACCAAAAACATAGTCACAATACGTTTACAAGAACGAATCGGGAAATTTTATAAACGTTTCGAGCTCGTCTTCTTCGATCTGGGGTATCGAATTTTCTACATTATCGGAAAACCAAAAAACACACTTTTGGAAAACCGATAAATTAGGAACAATTCGTTTCGATCTGCGTAAACGTTTTACTACATAAGCTTTATTTACCCACTGCTCCCTAAATATATTCAGCACATAAGCTTCATATAGCATTATTCCATCGATAGAATTAGCAAGTGAACATAAAAACTTGCTCCAGTACTGGAAACATCTGTTTTCGAAAGACCGTTCATCATACATAATGGAGAAGACTGTATCGTTCCAATAGAAAAGTCCATAGACTCGACGTAAACACGAATAATAAAAATGTGCCACCTCCGCTTGTTGACACTGCGTTATGAGCGGATAGATGGCAAAAAGCCAGGTGAACAAGGGAACATATATGTGAAAAATAGCATTCGTTTGAATTTGATATTAGAAGTGCCGCTGAATCTCCATGCTCTCACTATAGCTACTCTTTGTCTGATTTTTGTTTTGTATCGTATCATTGCTTTACCCCATCCTAGCCTCGATGCTATCCAATACCCTAGATATTTGGAATATGAGACCCACTCTATTTTATGTTCCCCGCAGTAGATATCGAACTTAGGTTTTCCGGGAGCACGAGCTGTCCACATAGCCTCGGTTTTCTTGTAGTTGATTGGTTGTACAGATAGGATGGAATAAAATTCCAGCCACTCAAAGAATTTTTTTAGTCTAATCTCTAAATCCAAATACTGACGCGAGAATTTGGCACCGATCATACCTGCCAAAGTTAAAAGAGTTTACTCTAGAATATCGTGTTCAACTAGAAGACAAAATATTCCATAATTTAGTGTTATTTAATACAATGAACTTCTATATGTTACAAAATGAATCGAAACATTGTTTTGTGAAAACGGTCTTTCAAAAAAAAAAGTTTTATTTTCTATTTTCCTAACTGATATATTCTATTTTGAATTATTTTTTAATTTTTAAATATTTTACTCTAATTGTTATTGAAATTAAGCAACAAAGTATGCTCGTGCAAGATTATTTCATTCAGAATATAGCTAATAACATGAATTTTCACTAGTAAACTGATATAACTCCCAAAACGGATGAGTGTACGTTTTTGTTTTCTCGTATTACAATTAATGTATTATTGAACGAGGATTAAATAAAAAGAAA